AGGGGGGGGGGGAGTCTGGTGTCGTCGATGTCCGTGAGGGCTAAGGAAGGGAAGGGGGGAGGAGTCAGGTGACATTGATGTCCGTGACATCACCTGACTCCTCCCCCCCCCTTCCCTTCATTAGCCGACGGAGCCACTTGGGCCGGTGATCTATCGATAGTCCCAACTTCTCGAGTTCTGGGACCGGCTGACTTCGGGTTTAGTTAGAACTACGAGGTTTGCCCAAGAAAGTTCTTCTGCACGAGCGCCAGCCGCGGCATCGGCCTATACACATACAGCACAGCAATGACCTATACACATACAGCACAGCAATGAAGTCATACAATGAACTAGGATCTCGTTATTATTCTGAGTTGCCCCACCCAAGCGGCGGCCATATTGGGTGCGGCACGTGAGATGAATAACGTGCTGGATTAGTGTGATCCTAGTTCATTGTATGACTTCATTGCTGTGCTGTATGTGTATAGGTCATTGCTGTGCTGTATGTGTATAGGCCAATGTAGTTGGATCTGTATGTGCGTTATAATTAATCAAAATTAATCGATTGAAAAAAAATTTGATTAATCGAACACGAAAATTTTAATTATTACCAACCCTAATTATTATTATAAGACTTTTGGCCTCATCTGTGGTGGAAAATCTAAATGACCTCAAAATAAAAGAGAGGTTTAGAGGGATTAAAGGAGAGCTATGAGGGGGGGAGGGGCTTTTCACTCACCTCATAGTTCTAGCCGATCTGTGACAATGAGACTGTCACAGGTCGGCTAGAACTATGAGGTGAGTGAAAAGCCCCTCCCCCCCTCATAGCTCTCCTTTAATCCCTCTAAACCTCTCTTTTATTTTGAGGTCATTTAGATTTTCCACCTCAGATGAGGCCAAAAGTCTTATAATAATAATTAGGGTTGGTAATAATTAAAATTTTCGTGTTCGATTAATCAAATGAGGACTCTCTATGACCTGAGCTCATTCCCATCCCCAATGGAGGTCTTTCTATGAAGCAAGATCATTCCCATCACCAATGCAGGACTCTCTATGATCTGAGCTCAGATCATAGAGAGGCAT